TTAGGCGCTCCCAAAAATTTTAAAGGACCTTTTTTTTTATTATTATTTTTTTTTTAGTCATTTTTAGGCTCTAGCCCGTAAAAAAGCCTCCAAAAATAAAAATAGCCCCGGGCCCCAAGAAGTCTTAATCCACCACTGTATTAGATATAAAACATTTTAAATATAAAATAAAAGTAAACGTTTTAAAGATAATTTTCTTTTGTTAAATTAAGTTATAAAATACTTTTCCTTCAAATTTGTATATGAAATCTTTTAATTTACTACATTATATCCCCATAATATTTTAAATCAACTCATCATACTATACCCCCTAAACAGCCCATGATTTTATAAAAAAAAACAAAAAACAATTATCAGGAAGCAAAAATATTATACGCAATATCTTTTTATCGACTGTGGGGTTATTTGTCGCAAAATCTCCGCATTATAGCATAATGCATTATTGTAGATGGACAAACACTTAATTGAAATATTTACCACAAACGTCAGTGAGGTGATGTTGAAATTATCCACAAAGGCGGTTTTAATTGATTATACATAAAAAATAATCATGGCACAAGAAGAAAAAGTTATAAGATAATTTCAACTTCTAACATTAAACAGTAAATCATATTTAAAAATTACAACAACCAAGAGAATTAAGCAGTAACAATGATCATTCAATAGTTAGTAGAAGATAATTTAAAAATACTCTAAATTACATTATGAGAAAATTTGATAAGTTAATTGGTTCCTCGCTATTAAAAGTAGCAATCTTATTTGTTTAAAAATAAATCCTGCACTATAAACAATATTTTGCAGCAACTGTAGCAGTTAGCATTTGATTGGTTACATCTTTACTCTGTTATATCAAGAATTAAAAAAGTGTTCTTAGCAAAGTACACTTTGTTAAATTAAGGTAAAGTTCAATTTAAAGGGCTATTGAATATTTACTTGTCAACCCATCCGGCACCACTCGGTAAAAAGTTACGCTTGGTTTCTATTGCGCGTTTAAAACTTTCTAAAACAATAAAACTAACCCGTGCAAAGAATGGTTTCCATTCCGTGAAATTACTATCACTAATTACCATAAATACCAGTTAAAATATTAATGGTTTCTTAGTATTATATTATATTACAAAAAATTTCCGTAAGGAATGTAAAACCACCTATAAAAGCTTGCGACATTTAAATTTGACATAAAAACCTCAAAAAACACGTGTTTAACTCCCGTAATATACACATGTTTTTGGTTTACGCCTGGATCGTGACAAACACGTGTCTATACAGGTTTTAATTACGAAAAAAACAAACTAGACGTACCGGTTCGAAATGCATGGCTTATAACTGATTGACGCTGTTTTAAGTTGTTTTGTTAATTCAAAGCATAATGTACATTGAAGTCTTTCACCAATTTGAATTAAAAGAAGTGTGTCAAGCTTTATAAACTTTTATATATTTTCAGTCAGGCTATGTTTTTTTATTTGTTTCCTATTGTTTACCATATATAAGGATCGTGTTACTTATTTTAAATTTTTATTAGCGAAAATGCTAAATACTATCTAATGGAAAGTTTAGGGGAAGTTGGGGTATAGTGGATCAGATTTCTTTTTTTTTTAAATTGAGGAGAAGTAAAACTGTGTATTTTATTTTTTTGTGTTAAGTTATATATGTCCTTCATGATAAGAACTCACCGAAACCAAAATATTTATAATCTAACGGCTCAAAGGCAGTGAGTTTTGTTACGTGATTTTTATGTAGTTTGTTTGTTGCACATGCATGAATTTAACCTTTAAGATCATTAATAGACCATAGTGAATCAACCTTTTCAATGTATCCCGATTCACTGTGCTTCACCATAACAAATTAGGTTTGAGTCTAGTTTCTTGGGACATGAGTGTTGTTAAAGGAAAACCTAAACTACTAAAAGGAAGCATATACATATTAATAATCCGAATAAAAAACTTCAATTTTTAAAACTATTTGAACAATTATCTCCATAATAAATACAAGGAAAGTAAGAAAATTTACTTTAGTAAACTAAAAATCACCTACCAAAAACTGGTAGTCAAAAATTATATGGTAACAACTATGAATAAAGATTGCTGATGTATCAGCACATAAAATGATTATATTATCAAGATGGATAAAATTCAAATCTTTAAGAAAATGCCTTTTATTCACTGTGCCCTCTCGATCCACTGTACCCCAACTTCCTCTACTTAGTTTTTTAGTTGTGCTTGCATGAAGGTAAAGAAAAAAAATTCTTTTGTTGATAGGGTAAACTAAAAAATCGTTTCCGTCTCTGCTAATTTCATATTTGTTTGTGAATCAACTTAGCGCCTTTTTTTAAAATTAAAAATAGTGTCACTTTTGAAAAAGTACCGACTGCTTCCATAAAAAAAAAGTCCTCAAAACTATAATTCACCCCTCCTCCGTATTATCTCCTCTCAAAATGACTATAATATTTATAAGTATAATAAAACTTTATAAATAAAAAGTAATGATTATTAAAATTTTTAATAACCATTACTTTTAAATTATAAAATTTTATTATACTTATAAATATTATAGTCGTTGTCAGAGGAGATATTACGGAGGAGGGGTGAATTTTAGTTTTGAAGACCTTTTTTTTTTTGGAAGCAGTCGCCGTACTTTTTTAAGATAACCCCCCCCCCCCTACCTCATTTTATCCTCAGTCATTATTATAAAATAAGCACTTTTTAAAATAGTTTATTATTATTAATTATTTTTACTCTTGTTATTAATATTCTTGTTATCTTATTATTATAGTTATAACTATTATTGCTGTTTATACTATTAATGTTGTTGTTGTTGTTATAAATGTCCAGTTGAAACGTTTTTTAAACATCTGAACCTGTCATTTAAATTTCCAAACGTTTTCGCTAGTTTTATTTGGATATCGAAAAAGAGCTACTTGTCAACGTTTCAATCGAACTTAAAAATGGTGATTGAGGCTTCAATATATTTTTATTAACAGCAAGAGGATTTATTGAAGAAAACTGAAATAAAGTTCCGGTAATCAGTAAATTTAAAAGCATTACTACTTTGATAAAAAAAAAAACTGACGTCATTGTGTATTGTATATTTATCAACATTATTATGTCGTTAAATAATTGATGACGCAATTTTTTGTTTCAAAACAATAATTATGAATAGTTTCTTTCAAAATTACTAACTCGCATGAGTAAAATATGAAAATTTAAGTATCCCATTTAATTGTTATTTCTTCAGATTGAATTAAATCTGCGCATGTAAAAAACGCATCACTGAAGCATTGAAATAGAAAATAACCTAATTCAAAGATTATTGAACTTTTTTATCTTACTTAAACGTCAAGAGAACTTTAGTAATGTTAACATCTTCATTACGGTTGTTATTGATTCAAAAAAAATAAAAATAAAATAAAACAGTTTTAACTAATTAAGGTGTGAGCAAATTATTGTATAATCAATTATATACAAATAAACATCCTAATATTTAAATTATTTTCCACGTAAAACCTGGTAAATAATTAACTATTACGAAAAAATAGTTAAACTTGATAAAAATGCGCATAAAAATACAATATAAAAATACATTTAACATGGCACACCAGCCATTACTAAATAACAATCTTTTAGTCAGTGGAAAATGTCGACGGTGTGTACATCAAAGATGCCAAACGGGGCTAATAACGTTTAATTATAAAGTTAACAAAAGTGCATATTTAATAAACAATTTCAAAATTTTTTATTTATTCACATTAGTAACTACAAAAAACTTTATTCCAGAAAATTTGACCTTAAGTTCATATATACCTAATAAATTACACCCAATATAATTTAATGGATAAATGTAGTTGGAATTCATGATTTCTATAATAGGCTATAACAGCGCTTAAATTTGCTTAGATTTTCATCTTTGAACTTGCTTTTGCGCTTTTTTTGTAAATTTCAAAACTCAATTGATTTAAATTAGAAACTGCAGCAAAAGAAACTGCAAAAAAAAAAAAGTTGATCAAAAATGATTGAATAGAATAAATGCAAGTCTAAAAACTAAGAATTTAGTTTAGTGCAAATGTTAATGTACGAACCAGCATAAGTTTTAATTTTTAAAATTGCAAATACTTAGATAAGTTAAGCAGCTGTTAAAATTCGACTAAGTACGAGCTGCCACAAATACGCAAAAATAATTTCCTGCACTTTTAGTAAAAATTGCTAAAATAAATGGCTCTTAAGTATAAACAAAATTACATTGCAAAATAAAGATTTATAATGAAAAAGTGTTACGTAGTTATGAAAGTGAAATTACTGTAAAGGTCTTGCACGTCCTTTACCTCTGCAAACTGAGATATAATGATAAATTTATTAAAAGAAAGCTTTATACAAGATAAAAAAACCAAGACTCAAAAAATGAGATAAGACCATACAAAAGCTTATCTCAACAAAATTTTAAATATACATTTATAAATATGTATAGGTATTATTCTAAAATAGTGTCATAAAGTCTTGACTTTATCAAGTATATATTTTAATATATTTAGAAACACCATTGCTTTTAATACTAGAGATTAAGGTAAACTGGTTCAATGCAGAAGCTGTTGGTACAACAAATAGATGTTATGTTACCACAGCTAACAATATTCTCAGATTGTTTGATAAGATTATATGCTAAAAGTTTAAATTGAAAAAAAAGAAAAAATATTCCCACGTTTGATTCAAAATTATGATATTTTTAAGGTTAATGCGTACAGTTACAATTTTCTTTTTAATTCTACGGTCTTAGTCATGTTTTGCTAGAGTTTCATTCTTTGATGTGACGCGTTTGGTAAAACGCGTCATATCAAAGAATGATGACTCAAGAATCACTAAAAGTTCAAGTCATCATTCCTTAATAACATTAATTCTACTGTTACATTTTAATTGAATAAAAAAACGTGTTCTTTCACGTTTATCCACTGGGTACTATATAAACTACAAACTGTGCCAAACCCTTATTTATTTTTTATCTTACAAGCAAATAAATTTAACGTTCACATGTTTTAAAAACTTCTTTTAATTAATTATCATTAGTTAATAAATAATTATTAATTAAAAATAAAGTTAATTGTTTGTTAAATATCAAGCATTACTTTTGGTTTGGTTGTATTTTAAAGAAGAAGATATTTTAATAAAACCAGTCACTGATCAAAAAGAAGTTACTGAAATCAAAATTGCGTTTAATCTGTTCCAAAAACCGCTTATAATAACAAAAGGTAGGTGGAAAAAAATTATTTTAGTTTTTTTAATATATTTATCTAAGTAGCATTTTGGCAATACTTAAAGACAAATATATATAAAAATGACATAAGTTTCTACATAGTTAATATTACATAAACATAAAAGTAAACCATATATTAAATTTATTGGGTACTCCATATATGTATATATATATATATATATATATATATATATATATATATATATATATATATATATATATATATATATATATATATATATAGTTAGATAGATAGATAGATAGATATGGAAGGTTGGAATTAGTGAAAGAATATTTAAGGATAGTTATTTTACTATTAGTAAAACAACTCTCCTTATTTGTTATCAGTAGAACTAATAAAAAAACGAAATTTATACTCATTTTTCATGATAAAAAAATTATCATGAAAAATCAGTATAAGTTTCGTGAAAAATGTGAAAAAAAACTCGGTATGTAAGAAATGTCAAAATTGAATTGTAAGCCAGAGATCGAAAAGAGAATCGAGACGAGTATCATAACCAGTTGTATGCAACTTAAAAAAAAATCGTTTAATAATTAAATTTGTTCTCGGACTTTTGATATTTTTGCCGTACTTTTATTAGCAGAGTATAGTTTTATTAAACAATATTAATGAATATTGTTCTTAATCATTATTATCTAAACATAAGAAGGCAAAAGCGTCACTTCTAACGCGCTAAAACTCATCGAAATTGATATAGTAGCATTTGACGTAATAACTTTAAAAAAATATAAAAAAATTAAAAGCATAAATTATAAAAAAGTTATTCAAAATAAAAATAAAACAAAACTTTTTAAAATAAAATATATAATGTTCCTCTATAAATTATAAATGTAGTAATATATAAATTGCAATTTTTTTTAATTATAAAATAATTGTTTATAAAAAGTCATATGTACTTAATGATAAGTTTGTATAAATACAAACTTTGGCTTTGTTTTTTCACACAAATTTTTTAAGTTTTTTTTTTATGTTCAGCTTTCTATTTGTAGAACTATTTACCCGAATTGTTTAGCAAGGGGCGATTTTACTGGGGTATTCGCCTCTAAGTGTAGTATATAGTATGTTAAATAATAAGAATAAAATCTAACTCCAAATACAAATTGATTTTCAATTAAAAATAAAAAGAATTAAAGATTTATTAAATAAAAATATTGCATTCAATATTGCATTTACATTCAAAAAATGCATCATTCTTTTAGCTGACTCTAGTAATTACACAATTTTGAACTTGCACCACCTAATTTTGTTAAAATTGCAATTTTCTTTAGACAGTCTAACTATATTATTTCCGTTTTCAAACAACTTGCTGTGTTTAATATATAATCTTACAAAAATAAAAAATTTCAAAACTTTCTAAGGGAGGAGGGGGGTGATGGAGACAACTGCACCCCCCCCCCCCTCCTTATGGATCCGCCCTTGATTCAGTGTTTTTTTTTTAACTATTATAAAGTATGTAACATTGTCACTAAAAAACCCTTTTATTAAGCTGGAGTTGATGTAATATGTGTTCCAGTATGGAATGTGTGTATATATGTTTCATATTTTATTATCTAAAACAAAAAGACTCTACAGACCTTTTTTTAAACCTTGACAGCGCAAAAACATTGGGTCAGGAAAACCTGATATTTTATTAACCAGAACCTAATGATATTTTAATAACCAGAACCTAATGTTTTGAAAACCATTTTAACCTTTTATAAATAAATAAAATGTTTTAGAAATATGTCAGGAAATATATTTTTTTGTAACAAAACAGTAAAATAATTTTAAAAATTTGATTTAGATTGAGCTAAAATCTTGAAAAGTGTCTAACAATGGTTTTTAACAATCATGTAAGTACAAAGTATATCAATTTTTTATTTGATTTTAAGATAATAGAAAAGTTAAAACAATTTTTTACAAATTACATTCTTTACTAAAATGAATCAACTTGTAAGAAACAACTTAGTTATTTAAACTTAAATTAATCAACTTGTAAGAAACATCTTCTTTGCTACAAATCTGAAAAGAAACACTTAAGTTATTTTTTTCTCTTTCTTAGCCTTCTATTTGTAATTTACAATAGTTTTACTCTCAGTGAGGTTATATAAACACAAAAAACGTTTTTAGTAAAGTGTGTTAAATAGATAGCCTCTGTTTTTGTTTAGAAAAAAATATATATATTTTTTATACAAAAAAACAGTTTTCAGCTTCACTGAAAAATTTATAAATCATGTTGTTGTAAAATTTAACTCGGGTCAGTGTTCCTTTTTAATCATTTAGTAACTTTGGTTGATTTTTGTTTTCTCTCATTATTGTTTTGTTTTGGCTTTTACGCCTAAAAAATCAATTTTTAGTTGCGGCTCTTATATATTTATTATAATAACTGAAATAATAAAATAGCGATATTATTACAACATGTCGCTTTGTAGCTATCAGTATTATTACGGTATATTGTCAGCTACATAACGTAAATTTTTAGCTTGCTACAACATAACAACAAATCTGTAGCTAGTCGATGGCTACATATCGCAGATGTGTAGCTAGCGATATTATTATAATATAATATATTGTAATAATATCGCTAGCTACATAGAGCTACTACATAACGACTATTCTATAATTACTAGATTGCTATAGTCACTTACTGCTACAGTGATATGTGTATACATATCGCGGGTTTTTAGTAAGCCATTTTAAATCAATTTATTGATCGTTTTTTAGTTAGCGATGTTATTTTTATAGAGGTCATTATTGCAAAAGTGCACTAAAAAAAGTTTAATTTCTAACCAAACTGAATAAAAAATTTTTAATAAAAATGATTTAAGTCGTAAACACAAACCTATGTTTTTAAAAGGCTACCATTATGTTTATTAACTTTAATAGGAGGCAGAATGTTTGCATGTTGAATATTAACATTCTAGAAACTCGATGATTTTCTTTTTCAATTGATTGAAACTTAATATTTTCATTTCTAGATTGACAAAACTTTATTTTGTTTACTACACATATGGTTTGTATCTGTTTCTGGTTTAATAAATGATTCCATTACTGATTCAGTTAACATGATATGTCCAGGAATATATTACGATTCTGTTCAAAGTAAGTTACAATTTAATTTCTGAGTAAAAGTATATGTATACAATTTTTAATAGTGTTTCTTGTTTTGTTTGGCAATTGCCCTAAATGACTCCGAATATAGGTTGAGATTATTCCGTAATCTATTTTTGAGCAACTTCTAAGTTAAAAATAAAATAGAAAAATTATTACAATTTTAAATAGTTTGGTTTACATTTAACAGTTTAGATGCATTTTATTGTTGATTAATGAGAATATGACCATTCGAAACACCTAAAGCATAACTAAACACCCTATTATACCCTATATAAATTCTAAACACCCAAAGCATAACTGCAGAACATATACTCCCAAAGCATGACTGCAGATCATAAACTTAACTAATAAGTATAGTGTTTTTATTATTTGGGAGAATTATTAAAAATAGTGTTGAAGAAAAAAGAAAACAATTCTTAAAAACGAGAAAAAAGGGACTGTTTTTATAAAACGTGCCGCAAAAATTAGAAAATGTATGCTTTTGAGCATCACTGTTACAAAAGCAAGAGAAATTTATTTTAGATACATTTTTTGTTCACTAGTTTAATTCGCAATTAAAGTAATAAATACAAAAACTAATTAATGCGCTTTTGTAGTCAATATATGACGTAAATACAAAAAAGTATCTTTATAATAAGGTTTCATGTCAAGTCCCTATTTATCAAGCCCCTTTCGCGTCTACAAAAAGATTTGCGAAAATAGAAAACCTTCGCAAAAGCTTTTCTATTTTCTTATTTAAAAGACAGTTTTATTTCTAAGCAGTGTCGAAAATAATACATTTACTTATTTTTCCATTTTGCTAAAAAATGATCTTTTATGTTTCCTAATTGTCTTTTTTTCAAATAGTCTTTTACATTGAAGTATCGCGTAATTTTTTACTTTAAGCAGTACTGTGTTTAGGTCTCCAAAGAGTTAATTATTGTAATCTTTAAAACAACTCTATAATTTCTAAATTGATATTTATGAAGATTTAAAGTCGATATTGTATAAATAATGAGCAAATTTATATTTGCATTCGTTTTATAATACATAAAACGTAATATTCAGAAGAATCTTGTCAATTAATTATCCTAAAAAAAGTTCTTTACCGGTTGATTTAGTAGTAAATCAAAATCATTGCCAAACATTTTGCTTCATCAACTACTAAAAAATCCAATATCGCTTTTGAATACTGTTTTCCAGCGTAGCAATACAGCAATAGAATTTCAAAAAAAATAAAAGTGATTTTTAAAAAATCACTTTTATTTTACATTGTCCTCGTTTACAAATATGGACATATAAATGTTCAGGTCTTGATCCAGCTTTTTTTGATGTTTAACATTCAGACATAGAGCAAAGTCGTAACATTTGTATGTTTACACTTTTGTCAAAAAAGGATGCTTTGCAAGAAATTCCGATGATTAGAGCCTGGAAACAAAAAAGAACTAAAATTTTTGTTACTCAAATGTGAAAATAACAAGTTGATAAAATATTTTTATTTACTTTTTTCGACTAAACTTATATAAGTTTTAAACTATATAAAATATAAATTTCATAAATAGATCTCTTAGCGCTCAAAAATTGTGGCCAAAAATAACGTCTTTTAAACGTTTAAAAAACGTCCAAAACGTGTATAAGGCGTGTATAAGGCGTTTAAAAGGTATATAAGGCGTGTATAAGGCGTTTATAAAAGGTTAAAATGGTTTACGTCTTTTTTACGTCAGTGCTCATTGGGAAGTTCCTTATTAATATTCCTAATTAATGTCCTTATTAATAATCCTTATTAATGTCCTTATTAATATTTCTTATTAATGTCGTTTATTACAACTAATAAACACATTGTTTTGATAGGAGAAAAAACACACGATAAATATGATACCAGAAAAAATTTAATATGGGAGATTCTGTGAAAAAAAAAAAAAAATACAAATAAATTTTATTTGCCGATTGTAAATAAAAGCATAAACTTTTAAATATCATTAAATAAAAGTAAAAATATTTCAATCGTTTAAATTACAATTTTAATTTTGTTGAAAGTCTTCAGTTAACAAAAAACGGAAACGCCAAATGCTACTTTAAAAAAACAAACAGAATGAGCCCGAACTAATTATAAATAGAGAAATCCCTATGCTATTGTGTAAACTAAATTTCGATGAGCTTACAAAGATATTTTTGTAACAGAAATAAATATGCAGATTTGTGAGCCTAGTAACCAGAAGTATAATTGGCGTAAATACAAGTATTTTAAGTGATTTCTCAACAAATAATTTGTTTTGGAAAGTTTAATTAGCACTAAACTTATTTTATAATTATTTATGAAATAAACACAACTTTCTCTCAGCACTTGGGCGTTCTTATAAAATATGTTTTACAAGAAATAAGAATTAATAAAAGTAAAAGATTTTTTTGTAAAATAAAATAAAAAAAAGTGATTTACCATCTTTTAGAATCAATACCATTTATCACATTTTTCGGAATCAATCGAATGTCACAATTATAAGTCAATTAAAAAAAAAAGGCTCCTGCATTGTAAAACTCGATGCTCGAAGAGCAGAAACAACGTTCACTTAATAACAGTAATTAATGCTTTTACTGTACATAAGTTTTGTACAAATTGAGTTATAAGCGAAGTCACGGATTAGCTTCTCAATTTAAACTTCTGTAGTGGAACTTTATCAGATACTTCACAAGTTTAGGGGTTTTAAAACAGAAAAAGTAGTTTATGTTTGTTCATAAGCATGTTCGAAGTAAATATTATTAAAGAATCTTTTAATAATTTTTATTTTGATCATGCTTATGTTAGCAGTTACATTAAATTGTCTTTCAACAGTAAAATAGTTTTAACACTTTGCAATAGCTATACTGTTATTGAACATAATTTTAATAATTATTTACTCATATTATATTTATAACTATTTTATAATATACTAATTATTACATATTTATAAAGGATAATAGTAATACTGATTCAGCATTCATTAAAAATGCTAATTCAATTTAAATAACTCAAAAACTTTTATTTATGACATTTAACTGATTCTAAATTGATAAAAATGAAGTTTCGTAGACATGACATAAGCAACTTTTTTAAAAGAAGGAAAGCTCTTATATAAGACCCTCAGTTTAGTTTTGGGTATTTGAAGAAGATAAACCTTAAATTATAATCTTTCTAGTGTTAGTATCACAATAAAAATAGTTCTAATCTAAAGTTACATAAAATAAAACAAATTTACTTATGGAAGGGCATTCAATTGTAAAAAATTGTATCTACTTTTTTAATGATAAAACGTTAAAAAGCTGATAAAAGTTAACTAAGGAAATGGAACTACAGAAACCACATAAACCACATTCAAGTTTAAACCGCATATGTGTCGAATCACGGACATTAAAAAAACAACAACTTAAGAGTAAGTAATAATATAAGACACTGTATTATTACAAAAACCATTTTTTGGTAAAAATTAAACAGCAAAATATATTTGTTTTAAAATCTTAACAAAATTAAAAAAAAGGTAAAGTTTTAAACATATAAGAGAAGTTTATGCACATTTAGTTAAAAAATAAATTAAAATCAAAATACATTAACTGACGCTATTATAGTAAATTTTGTTTCTAAAATTTCTTGAATTTCAACTAATTTTTTTTTTTACCATTGATTCTAATCATGTTCTTTTATACTATTCTTAGACCGAGTTTTTCAAGGAGGTTACTCAATTTTTTGTTTGTTTGTTTGTTTGTTGTTGTCAAAACCCTCAACTACAAATCAATATTTTTATTGTAGTATCTCTCTGAATTTGTTATCCTAACAAATTCAGAGAGATACTACAAGGAATGTGTCGGAGATTAAATTTGGTAATTGCACGCTGCATATTTTATGAAGTCTTTTCATTATTTTTTTTTTTTCTCTTTTGGACATAGTGCAAAATTAAATTTGAAATGAAAGCTTTTTTTGTAATGCTAGCCTTTTTTGTAAATGCAAGTCTTTTTTGTAGTGCAAGCTTTTTTTGTAAATGTAAGTCATATTTTAAGATCTTTTTTTTTTGATCTCATTCTTTTATTTAAAAATAATGAATGTCAAATAAACGTTGGTTCAGCTTATTTTTTTAACATAACTATTTTTAAAAAAGAATAAATTTAAAAACTACAAGCGATTGCTAGTAAAATAAGTTATTTATCTTCGAAACACATTTGGTTTTATTTAATAAATAATTGTTTTTCATTAATAAAATAAATTTTTATTTTAACTTTGTCAAACAAAACCATTGTATTAAAAAACATCAGAAAGCATGGAAAAAACATTAGAATCCACTAAATGATGCATGTGTAAATTCTTTTTTTCTAAAAAAAAAGAAGTCATTTAATGAAGTCATAAATGCTAACTATTGTACAACCTTGGTTTTTTTTTTGTCCAGATGTATCTGATCCTGGTTACTAGTTAGTAGGTGTAATCATTAGTTTTCAACTTAAATGAGGCATGTACATTAATATTTATTTGGGTTTATAGTTTGTGAAAAGTTTATTTCAAGATACTTATAATTATTTTATATATAAAAATTATCTGTATTATATATAACTTTTTTTTTATAGAATATTTTTATATGTATAAGAAAGTATTTTCAGATGCCATTATGGCATAAATACAATTTTATAATAGTATAATTTTTTATAATGAAATAACAATATATATGTTATTGCATCTTTTTATAAGTATGTTTTCAGATTTTTAAAAATGCTTTTATATTTCCAATAGATGCTTTTCACAATCGCATTTTGGCATGTTCTTTCAATAATCATAAATGTAGTGTTCAAAATAGTGGCTTTATTTATAGCGTTGACACTCCATCAAAAACACTTCCTAATAATTCATTTAATCCAAGTAAGTTATAACTATTTTTAAACTTTTTTAGTAAAATGGTAATGCTTTAAATTACGTTTAATATAACAGTGTTATATTAAACGACATCCTTTCATTTTTAACAAACAGTGTTTGTCAAACACAATTTGAATGTTTATATTTTATGTAAAGAGTAAATAAAGTAAAAACGTGTTAAAAATGAAAGGGATATCTTTTTTTTTTTTTCATGTTCTGACATGTTTAGAAATAGTTTTAGTTGGTTTAATTGTTATTCTTAAATTTAAGAAGAAAAAAAAGTGAAACAAAATGAACATTTTTGTTTAACATTTTTTTTGCCACAATATGTGAATATTACAAATCATTTTAATAATTCTTATTTTCTGGTCTTTGTTTTATTATTTAAAAAATATAAACAATTTATAAAAATTAATAAACTATTAGTACAAGACAAAATTCACTTCAGTAAAGCAATAGCTAACTAAATCTTCTAAAATATAATATCCAGGAATAGTTAAATATTTTTGTCACTTGCATTTTATCTTCTCATAAACATCAGACTTAATAATTGCTTGATTTATGAATGATTAAGGTAAACAATGGACATATTTGTACATATATATACAGACATATTTGTGCATATTTGTGCATATATATATATATATATATATATATATATATATATATATATATATATATATATATATATATATATATATATATATATATATATATATATGTATATATATATACATATATATTTATATCTTTTAATCAAAACTTTAAAATATTTTTATAGGTATTGGTCCTGGTTACATTTATGGATTTAATGCCGGTACATTTCAAATAAATTTTCCCAGAGGCTTGTATACGAATATAAAGAACTTCAATATATATATAACCATGGCGGTATACTCAGAAAGTAGAAATAAATCTGGTAATTAATTTAAATTTTTGTAATTTATCTTTATTGATATTTCCAATATATTTTACACATTTACATTTAAATTATTTTTTTTTGTATTAAAAAAAACTCATTTAAGCTTAAAATGGACTTATTTTTTTGAGGGGAAACATTTCATTTTTAATAATTTTTTTTACCTTTAGGTAAATGTACATAAATTTATATGTGTGTATATATATATATATATATATATATATATATATATATATATATATATATATATATATATATATATATATATATATATATATATATATATATATATATATATATATATATATATATATATATATATATATATATATATATATATATATATATATATATATATATATATATATATATATATGTATGTATGTATATATATATATATTAACATTTACATTGATCATAGTTTAAATTTATTGAACTATTTTATTAAAAAATAATAAGTTAAGTTAAAATCAAATTTAAAGAAGTTCTTTAAATTTGATTTTAACTTTAAAATTAAGAATTTAAACACAAAATTTTGCTTACAAGAATAAACTTTATTGTAATAGTTTCTGCCTAACCTATTTGTTAGTTAATAGTTTTTGTAATTTTTTAGTTAGAACAGACACCACATTTTAAAGCCTGCAAACACTGAAAAATTTTAATTATTATTTATTGTAGATTTTGGTTTGTTTGATACTCAACAGCGTTTTAGCGTAGAAATTCCCTCATCCTCCTATAAATGGGACATGATAAATATAATATATGATCTCACAAATTCTGAAATGAATTCAGGCTTTGCTGTAAGTAATATCTTTATATTTTCTTTTTTTGCTTTAGTTGTATACAACCCATAATAATACAACAATTTTAATATATATATGTATATGTATATATATATATTTACACATATATTTACATATATATATACATATATATTTACACATATATTTACATATATATATACATATATATTTACACATACATATATATAATATCCATTGTTTTTAGTTTGCTCTTCATACAAAAAATGTGTTTACAAGATTTGATGATATCTGTATTTATCAAAGTAAGTAATTTTATTTTTACTAATCATCATCATCATTAATAATAAATTATTTATTATATAATAAATCATTTTTGATTATCAACATTTATAGAGAAATTATATTATAGAGAAAATAAAAAGATAAAATAAAAATTAAAAAAAAAACTTTTCATTAATTAATATAATTTGCATTACTAATACCTATTTAATGCTTTCATCTTTTTTTTATAGTTTTATTTAATCAGTCCCAGCTAAAAACTTGATCACTGTGTTATTTTATCAAATTCTGTTTTAGTACAGTTTAAAACTGGTTTTTCTTTTTTGTAACAATTTTTTTAAGCGTTTTTACAAAATCTCATCTTTAATAGTTTAATAACTAAATTGAAAAAAATTACTATGAATATTAAAACTTAAATATCAAAACATGAAATGCTCTGCTAATTAATTTGAAACAAAAGATTAAATAAAACCAAAAATTGGTTTGAAAAGCGTAAAAATTGAATGAATTTTAGAAATTCAACTGAAAATTGAATTTTGGAAATCCATTATAGTACAAATCCTTTAGGTTAGCTAATAAAAGATTTTCTAACTTTTTGCTTCATTTCAATTTTATGTTTTCAAATAATATTGATTATTTATTATACCTATGGTTGTAATACCATTTATTTATTTTATAAGTTAAATTTAAGTTTCTTTCAAGAGATTTTCTTATCAAAGTACAAATTGGTTGTCCCTAGATAAAACAAATCTTATATTATAAACTTAGTTTTTGTTTCTTTTTAGTTTGTAAAGAAAATTATACTTTCAATGCTGCTTCAAACCAATGTGAAGGTAAATAAAATTTTTGAAAAAAAAAAAAAAATTACAAAATGTTTATTCTAGTAAATGATCATACAAGTAATAGCCTTTATCATCTACAAAGGTAATTCTAAAGAAGTAGTAATATGAATTATCTATTGAAGAAAATTAAAAAATAATTTTGATTTGATTTTTGTATAATGAATCCTAATTTAATTATTACTAATCATAATTTAATTATTACTAATCATTTCATTAAAAATCATTCTACTCAATTAGTAAATTTTTGATTTTTTTTACTGAAAATATTTCTTTCATATAAAAAGTATAAATTTTACACTATAGATTTTACCTTTTTGGATTTTTGTATAAAAATATTTCATACGTTTATGCATATTTTGACAAATTGTTTATAAACAGAAAATTTAAAGTCAAAAAACAAAACCTGTTAAAATACAAATATATATGTTTTTTAAATTTATATTTTCCTGATTTGTATAGTTTTAATAGTTTTTTAGTGCTCTGTTGTGTTCGTAGTTTTAAACATTCTTTTGTAACTTCATAGTTAAAAAGTGGTTGCCTTTTTTATCTTGGCTTCAACCTTTGTAGAATGGTTTTAAATACTAAAATCCTTTGAATTTACTTTAAATTTCAAATAAATTATCAATCCATTAACTTAGTTTAACTTTCATAATTAGCTTATTTGAAATAATTTAGAAGTTTCACTATTTTTATATTATTTTGTTTATAATCACCTGAAGTTAGGTAGCTTCAGTCTTTCTAATGTCACAAAATCTTGATTATTGGTAATAATAATTTTTTATATTTTTAATTACTTACAATAAATTATTGTAAGTACTTATAAAAAAAATATAAAAAATTGTTGATTGATAATTATTTACAATTTTTTATTTAAAGAAAATGGTTGCTTGACTAAGAATTGCCAATATTCCTGTAATATGGAGTCTGGCAAACCAATATGTTCATGTCCAACTGGATATAAGTTGAGTTCAGATAACAAATCATGTATTCAAGGTAGTTGTAACTTTTTAAATATATATTATTTTTCATTGTACAAAAAATTAGTTTTTTTATTGTAAATTTTTACTATTTGCTTACTACCCACCAAACATTCTAGGGTAGAATTTTAGTGGACATATATTGTTCATATTGAGTGGTCCACTGTAGTTTTGCTCATCAGTTATTTAGTGGACCATCAGTGGCAGAGTCACTGTTGGAAATTTATATGCTGGCTATTTAGTAACCGATAAGCAAATCACAATGAATTCTTCAAAATACCTATATAAGTCCACTGGAAATCCACTACAAAAATGTTTGCTGGGTATTTTAAACTTGCATCATTATATACTTTTATTGTTTCATAATAACATAGTGTAGTTACATCATCATATACATTCAATACTTGCATAATCACATTACTTATAGGTATATATCTATATGAGCGTACTTTCACACAAACATACATGTAAATCATTAACTAGATTACATATGTTTACATCATTTCCATCATTCTAATGTATCATCATGCTCTTACATCTTACATTTAATTACATCACTAATCTCATATATAATACTAATCTCAAATATAATACGAATAATAATGCTAAAATTAATAATAAAATTTGATTAATTATCTTTAATTTTAAAGATCTATGTCTATCAAAATATTGTGAATACCAATGCAGTGTGGTATCAGGTATTGCAACCTGTTCCTGCCCAGCTGGATTCATTTTGCATACTGATAAAATAAGTTGTTTGCAAGGTATGAATTTTTAATACAACATTATTATTAATTTAAGGTTATATGGTATGACCTAATCACAACTTGTTAGTCACTTGTCCTAAATTGACACTAAAGTTGAAAAAAACATTTGGTTAAGTTTATTTTAATAATTCATCATTTTGTGATGCAAAAGTAAACAATTAACAATTAAGTTAAAATTACAACAATAAAATACAACAATAAAATTGCAGTTAAAATGTTTTTCATACTTTATTTTTGAAATATCAGTAATTAATATGTAACTGTTTATCTGTTTTTTTGGCTATTTTTTGAAAGACTTTTTTAAACATACTTTGACTTTGACTTTTGGTTTTTTTTAACAAATTTCTAATTTTTACATTTTTTATTTATTTGAGATTTTTTTGTTTTTCTTTTTATAACTTTATAATATTTTTTAATAACTAAATAAAAATTCCAATACCTTTTCTTAAATAGTTCCGACAGCTGTAACACCAACATCTTTTACAATAATTATTCCAGAATTTTCTATCAAAAAAATAATTGTGTAAGTTGTTTTTTTTGGCATTTTTTTGTTTGTTTATTTTCTGGTTCTTTTTTGATTTACTTTTTTTAGATTATTTTATTAAACTTTTACTGTATTAAAGCAAGCTGGCTATTCATTAAAAAAAAACTTTTTAGTCTTGTTTTTTTTATAAAGATTTGAGTTTAAAACTTCAATTAATTTTATGACCTCCGTCAAGTATTTTTATGATTTTTTACTGTATTGTACTAAAATTATAAATAAAAAACATAAAAATTAAAATAAGTTAAAATAAATTTTTTAGAACTTACTACATCATCTTGGTAAAATTATCAACACCTGTTCTTCCAACAAGAACTTCAACTTCATACACATGGGATGAAATCTACAATCATAAAGATAATATGCGCATAGTAGGAGTGCTTGATGCACACAAAAAAATCAAGAGTTTTATTGTTGGAGAAGGATCAAATTGTAATTTTTTTTATCTGTAGCTTTAAAATTTTTTTAAATTTTTTACCTATTATATGTACAGATTATATTTAGGTTTCGTTTTTATACTGTGCACTTAATATGTATCCTTGTGGACACGAGGCGTGTTTAAGATGTCGAAAGCACTTATTAAAATGTATTAATATTAGACATCTAAAACACGTCTTGTGCCCTCTAGGATGTATGGTTTTAAAAAAGTTTTTAGTTTTGCTTATTTAAGTGTTAAATCTGTGAATTGTGAGAGAAAAAAAAGAGAATTGTGTAGTTTGTAAGCTATTTTTTTTTTTAATTTTTAAGAAAGTATAGGTGTACGTTATGTTTAAATTTTTGGTTTTAATCTTACATACTTCTTATACTTTGTGAAGTATCAGACAATTGTGTCTATTGTTCCTATTCGTGTCATGTCTATCGTTTTACATTAAGAACAAAAATTACAAAGTTAATTAAAACAATTTTTAAAGTTTAAGTAATTTAAGTTTTAAAAATAAATTTAATTATAAATTATAATATAAGTTTTCTTTATTTTCGATTATCGTGTTAATCACTCTTTTTATTTTAGCTAATCCTGCGCTTCAAACCGGGACTGTCTACACTACATTTGTTAGAGTTATAGCTATAGATAACAGCACATTAACATCCTCATATAGTTCGATTGTGGTTACTAAAAATTTTACAACTAAATCTCCTACCACCACACAAGCACCAGCTACTAAAAAACAATCTCCCACTACTAAAAAACCATCAGCTACTACAAAACAATCTCCTACCACTAAACAAGCACCAGCTACTACAAAACAATCTCCCACCACTAAAAAAGCATCATCTACTACAAAACAATCTCCTACCACCACACAAGCACCAGCTACTAAAAAACAATCTCCCACCACTAAAAAAGCATCAGCTACTACAAAACAATCTACTACCACTAAACAAACACCAGCTACTACAAAACGATCTCCTACCACTACGCAACCACCAACTACTACAAAAAAATCTCCTACTACTACAAAAGAGTCTCCTACAAGTTTAAAACAATCATTAACTACTAAAATCTAACCGTCAACTAAAAAAAAAATAATCGTCTTGGTCGTAATAAGCAGCTTACCAGTTGATCTGTTAAGTTGCTGTAATCAGTTGATCTGCTAAATTATTGTATTTTGTAATCAATAGGTTCGAAATTATTTGTTAAATTGATAATAGTTAATTTTTATATATTTTTGACAAAAACTTTATATCGTTATTTGATATAACATTATTTGAGTTATTGTTTGTTAAATATTTTTTTACTTAATTGTTCAGTTTTAATTTATTTGAAAATAAATTTTATTATTAGAAATAACGTATTTTTCTCGTTGTTTATTTTACCATACCAAAATTAGATTACTTGCTGCTCAATATTATTACACCTGTATTTTGATTTTCGTGTTTAGTGCCTTTATCAAAATAAAAATAATAATGTAATACTCATTATTGGACTCCTTTTTTGGACATATTTAAAACCAATTTGATTAAACAAAAGTAAAAAGATCTACAACATTTATGCAAAAATGGCAGTATAACAGTATGACAGCCAATTTTATTAAATATTTCACAAATGTGTGTACTAATGTACCTAACTAAAAAACGAATATTGTTTTTCTATTAAAAACCACAGTTTTAAAAAAATTTTTAGAGAGCCAATTTTGTTACTGAGAGACCAGTTCCCAGCTGGCATTTTAATGTTAATTGAACGTCAGCATTAACGTTAGTTAAATGTTATGTAAAGTTTGAAAATGGAAAGGTTTTTCAACGTTAAATTCAACATCACAAATTTACGTTGTATGACTTTGATATAACGTTGATTAAACGTCATCACTAACGCTCGTTAGACGTTGTTTTAAGGTTAGGGTTTGGCAACCATTAATAGTGACGTTTAACGACGATTAAACTTTATTTAGACTAAAACTCTACAAATGTAAATACATAATGTAAATATTTCTTAAATATTATTAGTACAATATCATTTTGATTCCGAAACTTACTTTGATATTTCATTGTTTACACAAGCATGGTTGGATGAAGCATCAATCAATGATCTCCGTTGATAACTTTGACCTTTTTTTTCTTAGGAACAATTTTAAAATATTCATAATTTTTTTTTTAAATATGATCTCGTGTAGTGTCTGTATGGATGATAAGTGCAGCATCTAAACAATCACGGATATTAATTGACCTTAAAATATTTCACATTGATTTCCATTTTTTGAACTTTTAAGAAAATTGATAAAATTTTTTAAACAAACAAACAAAACAAAAAAATTATAATTATGGAAAAAATTAATCAAAGAAGTTTAATCAATATATCTATAATTTTTAATCTATAATTATATATTTTTTTGGATGAGGTCTCCATAAAAATACTGAGAATTTAAAAATCAAACAATATTTGAACATTTGGATTTTCATAGACAAGTTTTGTAATCCAGGATTTTTTAGATCCAGACAATTTTTGATACTAGGCCTCTAAAAGAATTAGTCCTTAAAAATTCATAAACGTCCTAATAAACGATGCCATACTATTTTAAAATATTTACATTTTTATCATTGTTTACAAATGCAAACAAGCAAGACTTCTGAAAGAAGATCTTGATTATCATTCGATATCATCAGAACCTTTTACAAGTTTTTTACATCAATTCATAAACAAGACTAAAAAATTACAATAAATGTGATATAAATCAAAAATCAAAACAAGTTATATAAAATAAAAAAAGTCTTTATTTTTATTTTTAAGTAAATATTTATTAATTGGGTTTAGAGAAAAAGTTCTTCAAAGATAAGTAAAGTTAAATCGCTTTTCCACGCGTAAATAAAGCATAAAATGTTATAAACATTAAGCTTGTATATATTTATTATTTTCATCTCCATAAATAATGGTTTGGTATGAGTAAAACGATCCGCAAAGTTAATCAATCGGATCGCATGGTTCTGACGGCGATAAAGGCATTTTAACTTATCTTTTCCGGTGCTTTCCCAAGCTATGTTGCATAATCTATATAAGTGTGAATAAATAAGTAATAAAGTTGGATTAAGGCTTGCTTTGTTTAAATATGGTCAGGATTTATATAAGATTCCGTTACTTTTTGATATTTTCGAGCAAATATAGTCAATATGCGGTTTCTATGTAATGTCCTCGTCAAGAACCACTCCTAAAAAGTGACAAAATCTCTTTTTATTTCGACTTCATCAATAAATATTTTTGGCAATTTTTGGGGTAAATAGTGTCTTTTAGAGAGCCAATTGAAAAGAATCCATTTGGTTTTATTAATGTTAAGAGTTAACTTGTTACATTTGAACCAAGTAGATATGTTTTTAAGTTTATCATTCATTGTAGAAAAGTGTTTGGATATGTCATTATTAGTTAGGAATAAGTTGGTGTCATCGGCAAACATAATACTCATTAAGCTTGAGGCTTTATTTAGGTCGTTTTATTGATTATATAAATTAAGAACAAAAGTGGCCCCTTAATGAAACCTTGAGGAAAAGATAGAACCTTGAGGAACACTAGAGGAAATATTTAGAAAATGGCTTTGGTTATAGTTTTATTAAAAACTAATTGTTTGATTAGTAACTTCGAAGCTATTTTATAGTTATATAGTTTATTTCGTAGTATTTGAGTTTTTCATGGATTTTATGGTTGACAGTATCGAAAGCTTTCAACAAATCAATAAAAACACCTTATGTAAATTGGGATCTTTGAAAGTAATTTGAAATATTTCATGCAAATTGGATGATTGCATGTTCAGTTGAATTTTTTTTTTTTTTGAAATCAAAGTGATTATTATATAAAAGATTATTGGAAACGGGATAATTGTAAACTCTATTGTACATAATACGCTCCAAGATTTTTAAAAAAGGTAGAAAAGATAGATATAGGGCGAGAGTTACTGATATTGTAACAGTCCCGTTTTTTCAAAATTGGAATAACTTTTGCAATTTTTAGTCGATCAGGAAAAACTCCTTGATGGAAAGATGATTTATAAACTTTTAAAAGAATATCTTTTAGTTTATCAAAACACTCGATAATTACGTCACCATTAATTCCATCAGCATCAATAGTTTTTTTTTGAGTGATTTTGAGTAAAGGCTATTTCGAATTCTTCAAAAGATAATTCTGAGTATATTTCTTTGGAACATTTGCAATCATCCATTGATACTAAGAAATCATTTAAGGCGACTGGGGTAAAGGGAATTTTATTAGCTAATTTAGGTCTGATTTCAATAAATTATTTATTAAATTCGTCGGATATTATAACTTATTGGGGGAACATGAGCATGTTTTTTGATTGCCAGTAATTTCTTTTATTACATGTAAGGTATATATTTATTTTTAATTTTCTTTTATTACTTGTAAGGTATATATTTATTTTAAGTGCACTTAGAGTTATTTTTAAATTTATCTAATATTCTAGAGTAATAATTATTTTTTAGAGTTTAAGAATTCTTTTTAAGAGTTTTTAGAGTAATAATTTTTTTTCGAATTTTTACGAACAAGTATTTATAATCTTTGTATACATATTCATTTTTTGTTTCTATTTATCCCTTATGTTAAACTGGGCCAAAACGTCATAGCTGATAACACTGAAACAAAGTAACATTTTCACAGTAGATAATAGTTGTCATAGTTGATAACACAGAAACAAAGTAACATTTTACAGTAGAGAATATAGTATTTACATTCATTTAACATTTAAATTTTTATGCCGTATTGAAATAAAAAATATTTATAATATATTTTCAATACAACAAACAACTTTACAAACCTTTTTAATATATTTTTTGCAGCTTCTTTTAACAACTACACTTAGTCCACCAATTTGGATAATTTACTAATCTGAAAAATATTTTAGTTTTAAAGTAATTACTAATTTAATGACACACAAAAAAATGACATTATAGCTAGCTAAAATACTAAGTGATTTAAATTACACTCAATATCACTATTTTTAAACATCATTTATAATTGATTTATAATACTGATTCTACATTAGAAGATTTTTCTTGTTTTATTTTAAGATCAAACTCTTTAACTTCACTTAGAGTTTCAAGTCGTTTTACTGATTCACTGAGAATAAATGTTTTTTCTCTCAATAGCGAAATAGATTTGAACTGAAACTGTAAAATTAAATTGTTTAATTATATCTCAATACCATCAGTGGAATGTTTATCTGTGCTCAACCATTTTAACCCGAAATAAAATACAAATTGTCTATGATACAATAAGAGAGCGATCTTGTACATTTTTATACAGAGTTGGAAAATCATCATCTAAAAAAGACCAAATAACTTAAAAGAAATGTTAAAGAAATATAATTAGATATATGATTTTATAATATATAAATAATATTAGGAAATATTAAGAATAAAAATAATCATTACACACCAGCATCTTCATTAATCAAAAAAAACTAGTTCATTAATCAACTAAAGACAGTTCATTAATCGACAAGGCAGGCCTTGTTTAACAATAAGAGCGGCCAACTAAAGAGGGGAGGGGGCACTGGGTATATTTTATCTAGCCACACGGACCAAGGGTGTACATGCAACCCTAAATAAAAATATTTTTATTGTTACTAGCAAGCTAACTGAAAAGCTTCAATGAAGTAACATAAAATTGGTATCTAATAACTCTACGACCGACCAAATAGCCAAAGTATATTTTCTTGTTCATAATCGGATATTCATAGTTTTATTCCGTAATAAAATAAAAAACTATTTTCCTTTAAAAAACTTAAATGCTATGACATAGCAGGTAAAATTCTAAATTGGTTCAAAAGCTATCTTTCCAATCGAAAGCAATTTGCTTTTAACAATTCATTATATATATATGAATGATCTTGACAAAGCGTCCAATTTAATGATATAATTTTTGCAGACGACACAAAATTGTTTCAGCCACATGAAAATATAAACTTACTTTTTAATAATATGAACAGAGAACTTGAAAAAGTTTCATTTTGATTCAAAAAAAATAGGCTGAATATGTTTAAATATCGAAAAAACAAAATGGATACTTAAATGTTT